TTTTATTAACAAAATAGTAAAATTTAGATTAAACCCGGTTCAAAGCGGTTCAATTGGATCGTCGGTTTCCGAGTTTTTGGCGGTTCAATCCGGTTCAATAACCGGGTTAACTCAACTTGGGTTTTAGAGTTGACCCAACCCGGATCAGTATCCTATTTATGTTGAACCCGGTTCGATTACCGGTTCGGTCTGGTTTTCAAAATATTGCTCCTTTGTAACATATGATGAATGATAAAAACCAAAATTTTTAGATGGGAAAAAAAAAAGAAACTAGGACTAAAAGGAATAGTCTTTAGTGTTACCAAGATTATTTACTTAACAAGATTGCCCAAAGTCTTGAACGCTTTTTTTTATTATTTACTATGTGTTGCAACTTGCAAGCTTATGATTATAAATCTTACCAATATTGTTAGTGGGTCCATGAATATGATATGGTAACACAGTACAACAACAAAATTTCNAATTCCATGGGATTTCTAGAACTTATTTGTCAATCAAAAATACAAGTATCTTCAAAGATGTTGCGGTTTAGAATGTTTCTTGCATTGATCGCAGCTCTTACTTCTTTTCCGTGATTGTTTTGATGTCAAACGAAAGGTAGTATTACTATTACTCATAATAGTAACTTTGTCTCTGGACATTCTCTACAGAGATTTTGCTTTGGCATATACAAAAAGGAAGTAAAAGGAAACAGAAGAATACACAGAATTTCATAGAATTGACATTGTTCCCAGTTAAATAGACTAGTCTGATTACGATATTGATAGAAAAACACTCTGACAGATCTACAAGTCAGTTGAGTACAAATCTATTGGAAAGCTAATTGTTCTAATTCTTCACCGTCTTCTTCTTTGCCTCGATCCTTTGTTGTTGCAGTTGCATCGATAACCATCTCTAAAATAAACTCAGACCAGATTCCTAAGACTAGATAAAAGGCTACATAAAAGGTCACACAAAACTATTAGTATTAACAGCCATTGGCAAATGGTTATGTCCCTAGTGAACTTCCGTAACATAACATTATGCATCAGTACTTCAGCTTCCCATATAAGGCCGCTCTCGCAATAAGCAGATGCCATCATAGCCACGATTCGGACATCAAACTTGTAGAAACCATCATACCACTCTTCTGTAATCTCAGTTGCCATATCGATATCGCCTGATTTCAATAAGGAGCTAATCACTAATCGATATCCCTTGCTATCCTTGTTCTTCCAGTCGTCGCTTTCCTTGTCCTTTATGGCCTTGTACAAGTCCCATATACGTAAAACTTCTTCGGCCTTTCCTGCATCACCATATCAAGGACTCGTAAACTAGTGTCTTTGACTTGGTATCTAGTACTGATTCCTCGACTCTACGCAACACCTTTACAGCCGTTTCAACTAATCCAATCCTCAAGTAAACTTGTGCAATGTCGCAACTCGTACGCCAATCAAATGTAAATCCGGTATTCATCTTGCATTCTGCTAATACCTTCGTCAGTTTTTCAATGTCGAATTCAGCTGCGTAAAGCCGCAGTTTAATGTTCAAAGTGAGATTGTCAGGCTCCACATTGTTCATCTCCATTTGGCGCTTACCTACCTGATGTGGTTAAAAGGAGCAGGTTTCGATAGGTACCCGACCTTTCTCATCTTCCTGAAGATTGACTCAGCCATACTCAGAGTTTTCTCAGATCTTGCATAGAAGCTTAAGATAGTTGTGTATACAGAGTGGTCTCTCTTGCACTCGGGAATGCTTAGGAAGAATTTCGTTGCTTCTTCTAAACCCAGAACGTTATCAATCAGATAAAGCCGAGCTGCGAAATCTTCAGGAATCAGATTGCAAAGTTGACGCTCACTCATCCACTCTGATACCTAACAAGACGACAAGAAAAATCAAAATTTGAGAAACGATACTGCAGAAAGTGAAGAAAAACCTTGAGAGCTTGGGTAAATCGCTGAGAGTCGCCGAGGGTTTTGATGATGTTTCTGATGTCGGAAGGATTCAATTGATTACCCTGTCGCTTCCATTGCTCTAGCACCGGGAGACTGTCGTTAAGCTCCGGCGAAGATAGGGTTCCGGCAGAACGGAAGAAGTACCTCCTGAAAGCTCTTGCGCATGGTTGAAGAATCGGTAGTCTCATGGCTCTTAATGCGGTAGAGAAATTAGGGATTCTGAGAGCTCAGCTCAGTGTAGTGTTTGTTCACTTCTCTTTACTGTCTAGTTCTTACTAATTTTCTCTTCTTTCAAGTTTGCTTGTCTAGCAAGTATATACCATTCGTGTTGATCCTTCCAGCATCGAAATCCTTGGGGGTCATGTGCTGGAGTAACCAGTACCAGCATTTGGATCAACACATTGAATGGATGCCCAGCAAACTCGCCGTGAAGATGCTTGTATCTTGCGTCATCGGGATGTACAGCAATGGCGGTATCACCGAGCATTGTTTTGTTTCCACCCTAGTACTAGCAACAACAACAAACTGACCTTCTCCTCTCTCGAGAGGGTAAGCAAACGAAGTGATAAAACCAAACTCTACTAGCTTCTCATACCCAGAAACTTTCATTGGTGTTCTTTCTTTGATGTCAATATGCTCAACCTCAAGCGCAGACAAAGCTCTTCTTAGAAGACAGTCCCATTGAACTAGCCGGAGATCTCTGTAGATAAATAAGCCCTTGTGTAACTTTACAAAAGCCTCAGTGACAGCTTTCGATCTTTGCTCGTCCATTGTAAACGACGTCGCTGTCTTTGGATTGTACCACTATACTTGTTCTTCCACTTCCAGACTTGGTTTAAGAACTCTTTACGACCAAAGTCGTGCCTTGTCTTTCCTGTTTCAAGTCAAAGGTGTCGTTTAATTGAACAACTGGTAACAAATTCCATAACTTTCATCCAAACTCATTTTTTCACCCAATTCAGCAACATACTATTCCACCCAATTCAACTGATATCAACTTATGAAGTTACCATTTGAAGAAATGTGATTTTATTTCTGAAACACATTTGTTCCTGGCTGCGAGTAAAACTTGCTTTACTCTCTAGCACAGGAAGTACACACATACACCAGTTCCAAATGATCTTTTACTGATGGAAACACTTGTTGAAGTTTCTATTAAGAAGCAGAGTTAGAAATAAGAAGATTCCAGCTTCCTAGCTGTCTCTCCTGCAGTTACAGCTTCTGCATTGCCTTCCATGGCGCAACTCTTCTCCTGCAGTCACCATATACGACATCATTTTTTGTCATCACCAAAACCCATTTTACATATGATAAAACAAAGTGAGGTACTGCTTGTGAATGCATATTGTATTTTACCAGCAATCGCCACATGAAAGGAACACCATCTCTGACCTTTATCCTCTCTTTGATCACTTCTTTCGCTGCATAGATAAGAGCCAAGATACTAAACAATATGAATATCCAATGAAACTGAGTTAAGACTCTACAACAAGTCGTACCAGTGGAGGATTGGCCTGTGTATAGCAGCAACTGGCACCACATTTCGTTGAAAACATCTATCTGCTCATCCGATGCCCCGATGAACTGGTATTAACCATCAACCAGTTCAAAAAGAACCATCAAAAGGTGTTTGATTCAGATAGTTTTTGAGTTAAATGATTGAGATTTGTTTTACCTTGTAATCAAAGGCGTTAAACTCTGAACCAAGTAGTTCTAAAGCCTTTTTGTAGTTACCCTTTGTGTATTCATACACAGCTTCTCCGAGCTAATATGAAAACAAGACAGATATTCAGGAGTAGTTACAAAGAAAAAGACGATCATCAAAGAAAGAAAGGGAACAAACCTGAACCCCTTTCTGCATCACTTGTTGTTTCTTCTTGTTCATCTTCGATATTCTGCAAGAACACCACAGGTTCACTACATACCCGGTCTTACTGTCGAAGCAAAGAAATTAACACTAACCGGAACTTCAGACCCTCGAGTAATTCATGAGCTCTTGAAGTCTCTCCAACCTTTGCTAATGCCCAAACTATCAATATATCGATGTGCCACTCCAAATACCAGTTTGCCTGAAATGTTAAAGCAAGTGATCGAGAAATAAAAATCAATTGAACAGGAAAACACAAAACTAAAAGATATGATATGGTATAGGCCTAGTGCATGGCTTACCTGATCAGTTAAACAAACTGCAAGGACATTGAGACGGTCTTCAAAACCATCAAGAGCATCTCTTACATCCAAACGCAACAACAAGCCCAGAGCATTGACATATACCTAAAGAGTTGCAGACACTTGAATATTGGATAGAGGAAGCAGCATATATTTCTGAATCGGAAAGAGGATTACTTCAGGAGGAACAGCGTCGTCTTTCTCCAATTCTTTCCAGATGTGATGATCATAAATCTCCTTTACTTTACTCATTGGTGACCCTCCTTCCAAGTAACAAAGAGCAACATGCCACCAATTGTGTGTATACCTAACAATTTTATACATGGTAACAAAAAAAATTTAGGGATTTTAATGATAAAGAAGATCTTGATAATATGTGAGAGACTTCAGGAAAATGGGGAATGCTTACATGAAGGATGAACAAGAGCGCCAAGATCCTGCGACTCC